TTATGTGCACATGTTCTGTCTCTCTCTCAAATAAATAAAATCTTTAAAAAGAAAAGAGCTTTTTGAAAACTAGGAATTTTGAAGAACTTCTAGAAACTGATTAAGGGGATATTATGTATGTATATATGTATGTCTATAATAGTATATATAAGTAAAAGAATTATACACACACACACACACACACACACACACTTATATACCTATATGCATAGGTATATCCACTTCTTTTGTAAAATTCAAAGTCTGTTCATGACAAAAAAAAAAAAAGAAATGTCTCCACAAACTAGCAGTAGAAGAGGAGCATGCTTAATCTAATAAAGTATAATCTACAAAAACCTACAACTAGAATCATACTTAATGGGAAATATTAAATTCTTCCCCTTGAATTAAAAAATAAGACAAGGATATCACTTAGGTAATATATTTGTTTTCCACTTAAATAATATCAGAAGTAATTTAATATTTTGTGACATCACCACCTTTTCAGAGTGGGAGTCATTTTTCAGTATTCCTGGATAATTCTCCAGACTTGTTCTTTGCCATGTAGATGCATTGTAAAACCTGCCCAGTGTCGGCATATAAAAGCAGGACCAGTGCTTAATGCAACATAATTTAGCGTGTGTTTTACCCAGAAAGCTGGCAGTTTTATTGGAGAGCCTGAAAGTGCGGGTATCTCTAACTGTAAGGGATTATTTGAGGACTTACAGGGAAACCCTTTCCAAATTTTGATTTGGAACTCTGTGATGCAATGCACATCACTCCTATCAAAACCAAAAGTCTCTTCCCCTGCATTTCTGAATCAGTGGTCATAATAAGGAAACAAGCCTCTCCGTCAGTATGCCTTTTATATGGTCCTCTGGCACAGATCACAAGATGACCTCAAATGATTGGAAACTTAAGTATAAAGTCTTTGGAAACAAAATGTAATATTGTCTCAGCAAGAGTCCAAATTCCTTCTGACTTACTGGCAAAAGTCTAGAAGAGACTGTCTAGTTAATTATGATAAATTCGCCTCATTTCTTTCTCTATGTGAGACAAAATTCAAACCACTGATGGGTGAGCTGTCTCAGAAAATAGAGATAGAAAATTAACCTCTCCTTTATTATGGTAATAATAATACGTACCACATAGGGTGAGGTGAGGCTTAAGTGGATAAAGCAGTTATGCTTTGCACAATGCTGGGCACCTAGTTCATCAATGGTTATGATGTTTCTTATCATCATCATTATCATAATCAACATCGTTGTCATTGTCATCCCAAATTGAGCATCCGCCATGTACCAGGTCCATATTACAATATTAAAGGCAGAACCAAATTCATCTGTGGAGTTTTATACTCCCTGGGAACATACATAGCCATTAAAAATTCATGATACGATTATTCTTAAGGAACAAAGTTTTAAGTTCACCGTATTGCAGGTTGTTGAGAAAGAATTTATTAATCCAATTTCTAGGAAACAGACTACAAAGCAATCTTGTTAAGAATATTCAAACTGAATAATAATACACATAGGGAAATATTAAAAATAATGCTCTAAAAAGCCAACCCAAATGTGGATCAAGAAAGACATATCTTGAAACAGAAGAGGACCTCTTCTGAATTGTTAACGAAGTCTGGGATAGTTGCACTCTGGAGTTTGCACCTTCTTGACTCCACCAGCAGATGTTGCTGTGAAGTAAAAGAAGGCCTGCACAGAGAGGAGCATCCCGGGGCAGACCGGCTGAGAATGACTTACCCACAATATAAGGGAATCTTTATATTCGCTTATTTGTTATTTTTGCATGCTTGCTCCTTTTTTCTTTAATGCACTGGGCACAATTTGGAAAAACTTCTTTTTTAAAGACAATTTTTATTTCAAATATTATTTTATGGTTCAGAAAGTACACTTAGATGTATTATCAGTTTTTGTCATTTTCATAAAATCCTTCAGCAAGGGAAGGCAAGTCCTGTTATCCCTAATTTCTTGGCTAATGTGAGACCCATAAAGACTAGTTGGCAGGCCCAGCTTCTTCTATTTGGTAGGTATTTGTGTTCTAGGAATCGAATGGTGAATTTCTGAGCCTAAGACCAGCACACTTTCTTCCACAGTCTGGATTTATAACTGAATGCAAGCATCAGTAATCTCAGTTTTCCAGTTCATTAAATCTATGAATATAGATGTGAATGTTTATAATTACTTTGACCAAGATTTTTAACTTTTTGAGTGCTATTAAGTGGCTAGAAGAGAGTTCTGGAAACATTTGGCCTTAGTAAATTTCTCAAAGAAGAGCTTCCTAATATAAAATTTAATTAAAAAAGTAAAAATCAATGATGATTTCTTCTGTTTGAAAATATAATTGTTCAAGTGAAGTTAACTAAATAATTATAAATACCAAACTTTAAATTCTATAATATATACTTAGGAGTAAAATGTTCTGAATATATTTTAAAGGAATTAACATTTCACTAAAAGCCAATTTACATTGTAATAGACAAGGAAAATATATTAACTCTATTTTGTTCATATATTCATATATTCATATATTCATACCTCTGCAAAAATATTGCTCTGTTGACATACAGATGTACATACTAGAGTGACAAAGTGACAAACTGTCACAATTTGCCAAGAACTGAAGGGTTTTCTGGGACACAGGAACTTCAGTGCTAAAGCTGGGACAATAGCAGGCAAGCCAGAACAGCTGGTCACTTTAGCACACACATACCTAATATTTTGTATTTTATATATATAATGCATTTTTTCCTCCTAATAACTTGAGTCATCTGACACAATTATAATGCCAAGATATAGTGATGCCCTTAATAACCATTCTGGTGAATAAAACTCTTAGCCAATGTGACTAAACCAGAATACTGATTTTTTTTTTAAGAAAATTTATCTTCAGTTTTACACATTTCTTACTTCTTCCTTTTGCTCACACTATGTATTCTGAAACTCAATAAATCGTATTAGAAAAAAAAAAAAAAAAGCCAGAGAGCCAACTTCTGGAGAATTTGGGAAATACACTTTCTGAGTGTAGTCTACGAATGTTTTGAGGAAATAAAGTGTGCATGGTCTTTTCGATTTTTTTAAAAAAATTGTCCTCTTGGATCAGATGAGGTGGTCAAACAGCAGTGGATTTAAAATGACAGAAGTATGGTTTTCTTCATGTTAGAGAAGTGCAGGAACAGGCAGCCCAGGACTGGCAACATCTTCACAACACGGGAGAGTCAAGCTTCTTCTGTATTGCTGCACCGAATTTCGTGATCTCAGGTGGTTGCTGAAACTCCTGCCATCACAACCATATTCCAGTCAAGTGGAAGGGAAAGGGAATCATGTTCAGTATTTCAACATCAGCCAGCAATTAGTCATCTGGCCACACACAGCTGCAACTGATGCTGGAAAATCTAGACTTTGCTCTGAGTGGGCATAACAACCACTGAAACCAGAATTCTCCTCCTTTGGAAAAGAGGGAAAATAGGTATGAGGAAACAATCAGAAGTCCCTTGAAACACTTATCTGGATTTACTGCTGTAGCAGATGAAATTTCTACTTTAGTAACCCAAGAATTCCTTTTCTTCGACTGGCTTCTTCTTTACCCTAAATGAGTAATTCCCATAGAAAAATTAAAAAGGCCCTTATGTTTAACTCTGTCAGCTTATGAGTTTGCATGTATTTTGGCCTGCATCATATTGGATCTTTTGAACAAATCTAATTTGTGCTGAGATGGAGAAATTGAAATCATGCCTAACTCTCAGCTTACATTGGGTCCAGTGTTTCACATTCCACTTAAGCAATCAAGTCATAGAGATAAAGGCTAAACAAGGACTTACCTATGGCCCTTCAAGGACAACCTTGAATCATGTAATCTCCATGGGCCTGTGACTGGCCTATGACCTCATAACTGTGAACAGTCTTTTTAGAGATCAATCATCCTGATTTTGTGGACCTCACAAATGGGATCGAGCTCTACTGATGTCATGAACATCCTCAAAGATTTCTAGATTCATGACATTTTATTGCTAAAGGCACTGAGAGACCAAGTTGCTTCTTTACTGAGAAGACCCAGGGGAGTTAAGTAACTTGTCTAAGGATACTCAACTAGCTAGTTATAAAATGTGGTTTGATAACTGCTCCTGGACTTGTTCTCCAAACCTCACAAACCAGAGATGATCTGGCCCTATTGTTAGGCAGACTCATCATCAGTGTGGCTCTACCACATTTGCTGCTGACATTCAGAAGCAGCGGTCTTCTATTACCCCTGTCTAGCCTTAACAGGAGAGAACTGTAGTGTGGTTGAGAGGTACTTCCCCATCTCTAGGCTGAAGGACCTTGACTGGTCTCTCCTTCAGGCACGAGTAAGAGAATGGGTATTTTTTGAGGGCAGGAGTCGTTTTTCCAAATTCTTAGATCTTCCCAGGAACAATCCCGGTCATGTATATTTGGGGAACTCTGATATTTTGTTTCTGTGTTACATATGACAGAATGTTGCATATGGTTATAGAAACATCAAATTGGGACCTACAGATCAATATCTCCTCAATTCCTTGATTTCTCAGTTGATAAAACTAAAACCCAGAGAGATGAATTGACTTAGCCAAGATCAGATTTCTTGCTCATGATTTATAGGAAGCCAAAGCTTAAATCAACTCTACAGTTTGTTTCTAACAATATTATTACTATTTACACAATAGATTAGTATCTGAAAACTAGTTCCTACTTTAAGAGTATAGTTTTGCTCCAAAGCATCTTTTAAATTTATAATTAGATGACACGGAGTAGTTTTATAAAATATTTTATTTACAGTAGAGTTTTACAAAAATAGTCTTAATAAAATTAATACAAAACCATTTTACAATATAACTTATATAACTATCTTCTCAAAAAAGAGACATTTGATTATAACACATAAACTACATTTGCATTTGTTAAGTCACATTGTAGTATAAATATGTTTTTATCATTTTTTTAATAAGGTACATACCAAGAACAATGAACAATGGACAGCAAATGTTATTTTTTCTCCCGATGTAAAAGTTATCTCTGGCCAAAACAAAATTAACCAGAGAAAAGTAAAACAATTGTCCTTCTTTTCAACAATACAGTCCTTTTAATTATTTGAGAGTTTATCTGACAAAGACACAGCATTAATCTCAAAGCACCATGGCATAAAATCTAGTAACAGTATCCCCAAAAGCATTCTCCAATGTCTTCAACTGTTTATTCAGTATTTTGCCAAGATAAATAAAGATTGATCTCAACTCTCCCCTTCATTAGTCTAAAGTGTTCTTAATATGCACTGAGGTTTTTAGACCGTCCCAACTAGCATATGTTTAAAATGTGAGTTTCTCTCTTTGGCTTCAAGTAGAGTTTCACAACACTTACGAGACATACTGAGCACCTCCATGTGGCTGAATCTCTGTGACTCCCCACCCAACAACATTTCCCCGGATGTGACAAGACTCTGCTCCGCTGGTCTCTCTTATCTCTTCATTGCTGAGAACACGGTTCCAGATATTGAAGCCTGTGAGTCTTCCAGAAAAGGCCAGTGTTTCATCAAAGCCACCACCCACACAGCAGCCGTTCTTTTCTTGGCCAATTTGCAGGATTCCTCCCTCAGGAACAATGTGACCTGTGGCCATCTTGACTGTGGTAGCCATCAGCTCACCATTTACCCACAAGGATGTGCTCCCTTTCTCAGAATTCCAGGTGCTACACAGATGGGTCCACTTTCCCAGGGAAATCACAGTATTAGCAATCAGTGTGTTCTCCTCTCCACCCACCACAAACACTATGGACTGATAGCTGAGGTACAGCTGGATCTCATATGGGTTTCTCTTTGTGCCATAGGAAAACAGGATGGTTTTGTTTAATACATCTGTGGCTTTGACCCAAATGCAGGCACTAAAGGACTCAAGCTTCATTGGTGTCACTGGATGCACGCTTCCAAAAATCTTCTTGGAACGCATTGGGAATAAAATTGCTGTTTCACAACCTAGAGGAGCAGGAAAGTAAGAAGAATATGAGAGAAAATATAAATTCATTCAGAAATGATTCCGACATTTAGGTATTTTAGCACAGGCACTTTAACGACCACAACTGAAAATGATATGCTGTATCCCGTTATGACTTGAGGAGCTTCAAGAGTGATCTTGGTAGAGCAAAGAAAACAGGAATAAAGAAAGTCAATTGTCCTACTCAATGAAGCATCTAAGTGGAGAAGGCATGCAGGGTAGCCAGATTGTCCAAATTCAGAAAATAATGGAAACCATTTCCCCTAGCTTATTTTCTGCTAGACTTTATTTATTTATAATAATAAAATCTAAAATATTTTATTTATTTATTTGACAGAGATCACAAGTAGGCAGAGAGAGAAAGAGAGAAGGAAGCAGGCTCCCTGCTGAGCAGAGAGCCCAATGTGGGGCTCGATTCAGGACTCTGGGATCATGACCCAAGCTGAAGGCAGAGGCTTTAACCCACTGAGCCACCCAGGCGCCCCTACTTTTTTTTTTTTTTAATAAAGATATTGGGTCATTACGCGTTAACTTCAAACAATGATGCTGTAATTTCCAAGAACTTAGAGCCAGACCTGTTTCCCTCTTCTTGACTTCACCAAACTTCCGGAATAAAACAAACCTATGAAAGTCAATGGACCTAGCTCACCCCATTTACCCACTGGCAACATACATTTTTAAATGAAACTCTAGGACTGTCAATTGCAGAAATTTTAATACTCTGTATGTTCCAGATACTTGTAACTTGCAAAGTTTGTAGAAACCTACCTTTGAAAGGCGACAATGTATAACAATTATGACTCACTCTTACTGGGCACTCACCATGTACCAGATACTGTTCTCATCACTCTGAATGTTTTAATCCTACTTATCAATCCTAAGAGATAGTCTTAATATTCCCTTTCTACAGATGAGAGCACTAAGGCATAGAGCACTAAGTAACTTGGTTCTGCTTACTAGCTGGTAAGTGGTAAAACTAGGGGTTTGAACTTGGGCACTGTGGTTGCAGAAGCCACACCCTGAAACTAACACACTGCATTGCTTCTTAATGGGAAAAGAACCCCTTGATTTGGTTAGGAGAGATGGAATTCAGTTTGTTTTACTATTCTTAAAAACTCTTATTTTGTCCACATGCTTATAAATACTATTTAGGCAGCAATAGAAAAAACCTTTAAGGAAGAGTGAACTCTTCCAAGGGGCCTGGTGGAGAACATATTTCTGTTGAAGAGCACTTAGAAGGAGATGCTCAGACACCGCGATGGGAGAATAGTAAAGTCCAGGTCACATGCTTGGTCAAGGAGCTAGAGATGCCCAAGTGAAGACCTTCTAGGTGTCTCTGGGAAATGTGCTAAAACCTTTCGTAGATGAGCTCTGCTTTGTGATAACTTCATGTGAATAAGAGATCAGAAAAAGAACTTAAAAAAAAATCTAAATGAAGGCTAGGCATTCACTTCATAACAAACTAAAGATTTATCATAAAATAGTTCTGATAAGCAAGTTCCAGATCCTCAAAGACCAACTGGTAAACATACAGAACTTGAAGACCCCAAACATCCATGCAAACGGTGTTAAACTAAGTTAAATGCCTGCAAGTGATTGAGGGCGAGGCTCTGTCCTAAAAAATTAAACAGATGTGTACCTACCAACAGTCGAAGAAATACTGAGATTCAGAAAATCGTATAAAAGTTACTACAATACTAAAGCACAAATTGGTCCTGTCACATTTTGGTATTTACTTTTTCATTGAATAATTTGAATTTTTGAAGACTTTTAAGATTCATTCTTAATGAGGCTTTCTTGTTTCAAATGAAATTGGTAGATATATTGTTTTTCCCCTAGCTGTGTTAATTAAATTAAACAAAGATTGTGGAACAAAAGATCACCATATGCATGACCATTTGAGATATACTCTGTAATGTCCCAGTAAAGTAGTGTTCAGGAGGGGGCCTACTGCAGTTCAATTAACTGATTTCCTGTTTAAATAAACCCAGGCAGTCAAGATTGCATTCCAAAGCATTCCTTGATTGCCTCTGAGAGACCCAGCTTTCCCTGCAGGCTCCACTGGCTACAGCTACGTGAGTTCATGGAGTGGAATTTCATGCTCACAGTTTTTTTGTGGCTTTTTTGGTGGGGACCAGTGATTGAGCCTCTTGATATCTCTTCAAAATGTCAGAAACTCTCTGACATGAAAAGACATGAAATGGCTTTTAACTAATAGGTTTTTCTGATTACATTATCAAAGACCAAACAAAATTAAAACCAGGTTCTTAGGAGGCCGACAACAGAATAATTAGGAATCCCTTAGGAACCAAGCTGGCAGGAAACCAAAAAGGAGAAATCAAACCATGTGGGTAAAAATACTATTAGATATAATAAGAAATTAACATGTCAGAACTCAGAAATACATCCCTCTCTGCGCTAACTAGTATACAGAGGTGAGAGTGAAAATTAGCATTAATTCTTCAGTTTGGGGGATACACTGTATGCACAAACATTTCTCATAGTTTGCCAAAGACAAGAAATTTCACCCATTAAAATAGCCACAGAATTATAATTTGCCTCTGTCACTTATACTGAAGATCTATTGTATATTTGATTTTATGCTTTTTCGGTCTCTGAACCCGTACTGAATAGTCAAGAAAATATGCTCAGCACTGATAAACAGTCCGCAAATATTTAGGAAAGACTGTTACTCTGCTATGGTTTCTGTAATTTTAAATGAAACATGCTGTCACACATGCTTACAATTCTTCTTCCTACCCTAACAGACGAGTTGCTTTATTGTAAATATAAAGAGGGATGGCACTGTTTGTAATTGTTTTCTGTTCATGAGAGTCTCAGGAACAGTGTAAGTTATATTTTCTAACCAAGTCACTGATTTTCTAATATAACCCACAAAAGATTTTTTTGCACTACTACCTCTTAGAAATTTTGACTTCTAAAGGAGGGTTATTTGGCTCCAAATCGTCTCATTTCGTTTAACAATCTTCCAGATGTACTATTCAAATGTATTATTTCAAAAGTATTATTTCAGGCCCATGTGTGTTTGGAGATTCATTCATATTACAGGGGAGTTCAACAAGTTGTATCCGGTTTGAACCGCCTCTCTCCTGTTTGGTCCTGACCCCCTAAAGCCCTGGGGAGGAGGGTTACCCATTTGCTCCTCCAGCAGACTGTGGATCCCGCCCAGTCCAAACCTCACATACTCAGCCCTCCCCTCTAGCGGGCTAATTCCACAGACCTCGGGGCCTGGGGGACCCCTCAGGAATTACACTAATCCTTCAGGAGATGGGGTTCAGTCTCAAGTCTCTTGCCGGAACGAGCGGGGAGGAGGGGCCGGCCCAGGGATCGGAAAGTGTAGATAAAAGAATTAGGCTGGGCCCTGAAATAGCGCGGGGAACTAGAACTCCGCTAAAGAGAGAGACAGGCTAAAATTAGAAGAAGTGGAAATCCCAAACGGAGGGAAGCCGGACAGCTAGAGAGGTCACGGTTAAAACCGGCCAATAGAGCTCCTGCACCGCCCGGTCCGATCGGGTGTCAGGGGTCCCTGACGTCTATTTCGAGACTGTGATGTCTATGTCCATAGCTCTCTTCTCGGTTCCCGGGGGCTGGAGAATACTTTTTAAAGCCAGTTTTCGCGCCTTGTACGGTGTTTGTGAGGCCTGTGAGCGTGCATGGAGAAACAGAGGTGTGTGTGTGTCCCCATTGAAGCTGCCCCTAGAGGACCGCCACCAGGCTTCCCGCCACGCGCGTTCCGAGGACAAAGACGCAGGGTGTTTGGGGGCTGTGGGGAGGGGCGGGAGGCGAGGAGGCAGCGGGAGCCACTCCGCCCCGCGTCCTTACCTGCTGGCAGCCAGCGCCCGGCTGCCCATCCTTGCACAGCGCGGAGGTCGGCTCGCGTCCGCCGCAGCTCCTCGAGCACGGCGCCCAGGGCGCGCCCCGCCTCCTCCGGGCGCGGCGTCCCCGCGCTCTCCAAGCGCGCCAGCCTGCGGCCCGCCTCGCGGCTCGCCTGCAGCAGCTCGTCCAGCGCCCGGGACAGCCGGGCCTCCGCGGGGGCCGGCGGCGCGCACGGTCTCCCCAGGCTGCCGGCCAGGCGGCCCAGCTCTGCCCGCAGCCTCTGCAGCTCGCCCCGGAGGACGTCGTCGGTGGCCTGCAACAGCATGCCCTCTCTCATCTGCGAGTCCTCCAGCATGATGAAGAGCTTGTCCCACTCGGTGTGCTCCCGACGGCAGTCACACGGCGTGGCTAGAGCGAGGGACACACACGTTACGGAGCCGCCCAGGCCTTTCTCGGGTGCGCTTTGTACAAAGGTGACCTCCCTCGGTGGTCCCAAGTTCCTGCCTAGCCCCACAACCCCCTTCCCTTTAAGGACACCTCGGAAAAAACAGCGTGTGAGTATCTCGACAGCGACAGGGACCATTCACGCAGGTATATATTAAGTGGAACTCTGTGAAATTGCCGTTCGTGCGGCTCAAAACAGGCAAATATCGGCGATTTCATGCGGTTCAAGCCGTTATGTATCTGTGACAGAAATAACTTTTTGAAATCTCCCCCTTTCCTATAGTGCTTCTTTCTTTTGCAAAACAAGCTATAATTTTTAGCACATTTCCTTGGCTACAAAGTATATGTATACTATTTAGAGCCAAAGAGGTGGGTATGTAGTTAGGGTTAGCAGAGAAACAGTTAAAGAGAACTTACGGTCCTCAGTGGGATGGAGTCCATTGTCTATTTCGTTGTCCAAATTCACATACATGAGTTCATAATCATCCGAGGTCTCCGCCAACGCCGCAAACCAGAGAGCGCAGAACAGGATCACAGGGAGATGCATTGCTGGAGAGAGACACAAAGTTCTTTCTTCGGCCACTTCCCACAGCTGGCCCGAGGGGACGAGGCGAGAAGCTCTCAAGTGAGCGGTGTTGCTGGAGCAGAGGAGAGTGAGAGTGAAAGGCAGGAGCCCAGAGCCCTTAATAAATGCTGGGGGAAGCCTGAATGGAGATGAATGAGTAATGCCGGTGGCACCGCGGTAACGGGAGTTCCCCTGAATTTGGAGGGGAGGGGGCCTGGTGGGAGGGCGAGGGAAACGTGGACGTTGCACAATCATAGACCGCAAAGGTTTACACTGCCGTCAGATTAACTGGAGGAGGGTCAGAGGGGAAAGAGGTGGGGAAACTGGGCTAAGACTGTACCCCCGAGGATTAGCTGTTGTAACTTGAATTGGTAGCACTAAGGGATGAAAGGGAAGGGAGGGGAGGTAGGGGGAGAAATAAGTCAGCAGGCACAGAGGCATGAAAGCAAGATCATCATTTCAGCATTTTGTGTGGTGCCTTTACAGTTTTACAGCCTTTTATGTATAGAAAACTTTCCCCAGTTTTCTTTTGTACACAGTTGATAGGTCTAAGTTGTGAAAGTTACTCCCCTGATTCCAAGATAAACCAACTTAGAGTAAGATTTCTGATTGCTCTAGAAGCCACGTCCATTCCTAGTTATTCCATCTTTAATCCTTCTGGAGTTGCAACTCTACTTTTATAAACATATATATAAAATGAGAGACAACAAAGCAAAACTGGTGAATCTAAAGTAAGAGCGAGCTAGGGGAGAGGAAGAAGCTGATTTTAGGAATATTTCTTTTTGTAAACTGGTGTTATGTAGAAATTGTATTATTTCACTAGGCTTAGAGTTAAAGATCACGTTTTTAAAATAAATTTAGGGATTTCTGCGTCCTTCAAAATAATAAGCTGAAAACTCTCCTGCAAAAAAACACCTAAAAATGCATACGTTATAATGATAACCTTAAATGTCCAAATGAACTACCAATAAAGTAAGGAAAGTATCCAGGGCCCAATGATAGAGAGGGGAACCAAAACCAAACTTCTAAGCCTGAGAGCTGATGCCAGGACTCCTTGGAGGGACATAGAGGGAAATAAGGGTTATCAGTTCTGTAACAACTAAGTGTTAATGACCATGTGGGAACAAAGCTTAGGCCAGAGTGGGAGTTGGAATTGAGAATCTCACCTAAAGCCAGACCCTCAGAGAGTTACATATTGGATTTCAGTGGATATAGCCCTACCCTCTATCCTAACACAAATAAGTGGGAAGTCAGCATGTCTTTGACTGAACTCTGCAGGGTCCCTAGTAGTTTGTGGCATGGGTCTGCCCTCACACATGTTCAAGATTCAAATGTATATTATCTACCACAGTAAAAACAAATTCACAATAAAAATATTTAAACATATGAGGAAACAACCCACCACAAATGAGAATCAGCAGATACAGAAAAAGGATTAGGTACCCCTCTCCTGAGAACTTCATTTACTTAAAATATCAGGTAGGAATTAGAAAATGAGTGTGTTTAAAATTGTAAAATTCCAACACAAGGAGTTGGAAACACGAATAAAGAAAAAAGACATTGTCAAAAGAAAAAGATGAGGCAGATTTTTAAATTCTTTTTACTTTTTTAAAGATTTTATTTATTTGAGAGAGAGAATAAGCATGAGCAGGGGGAGAGGGAAAGGGCAGAAAGAAGGGGAGAAACAGATTCCCCACAAAGCAAGGATCCAGACATGGAGCTCAATCCCAGGACTCTGAGCTGAAGGCAGTTTAACCAACTGATCCAACCAGGTCTCCCTAGGCAGATTTTTTTTTTTTTTTAAAGAACCATATGTAACTTCTACAAATAAAAAAATAATTAAAAAATTTAAAACCTCAAGGAATGGATTAAATGGCAAATAGGCAAAGCTGAAGAGAATATTAAAGAACTGGAAGAAGGATCTGAGAAAATCATCCAAAATGTACTCTTTAATTTCAGTAACCTCAAGTCCTTTCATTGCTCAGGAAGATGATAGAGAAATTAATTTTGCTTTGTTAGTTCTGGAATGTTTATCTTTTTGAAGACAGCCATGAAAACCAAAAGGAAATAGAATGTTCCTTTTGAACATTCTTAGAATTAGAATTAATTTTAGATTAGAATATTTAGAATTATTCTATTAGAATTATTCGAATTAGTTTTTAGATTAGAATTAGATAATTAGATAATAGATAATTAGACAATAATTAGAATTATTAGAATTAGACTTAGTCTATTAGAATAATTAGAATTAAACAAACCTTTTTCAAAAAAAGCGGTAAAGAAAGGGGAAAAACATAGACAAAGCAAGATGAATAAAAAACACAAGATGGGGGATCTGGGTGGCTCTGTGGGTTAAGCCTCTGCCTTCGGCTCAGGTCCTGGGATGGAGTCCCACATCAGGTTCTCTGCTCAGCAGGGAGGCTGCTTTCCCCTCTCTCTCTGCCTGCCTCTCTGCCTACTTGTGATCTCTCTCTCTGTCAAGTAAATAAATAAAATCTTTAAAAAAATGTAAAAATAAATTCAAATATACCAATAATCATCATAACTATTAATAAAACAAACTTTCCAGTTAAGAGACATAAGATGTCAAGTAGGAATATTTTAAGTCCCCAACTATAGGTCACTTACAAAAGCCACCCATAAAACATAAGAATCTAGCGATGCCCAAAGTAAAAAACTTGAAAAAAGCAGGAAAAGAATATACCAAGCAAATGCAATTCAAAAAAGCTAGGATAGTTATAGTTATATCAACTGGAAATAACTATAAGGGAGAAGAGGATAAAGTATGGTAAACACTTTACTAGCATTATTTAGTAACAGTTTCAAAAAATATATGCTAAAGACTGACAAAATTATAAGGAGAAACTGACAAATCCATAACGATGGGGGAGATTTTAATATACCTCTCTCATAACTAAGTTCACTGCTGTCATAAATGGCTACTCAAATTCCCCCCCCAAAAAAACACCTGCTAAAACATACAGAAACTTATGGTACATGAAGTTTGAAATAATGAAATGTATAGAACATTGTCCAGAAGGTTTAATAAGCAAGTTCTACCAAACATTCAAGGAACATATAATCCTCTTCTTATACAAACTGCTTCTAAGAATGAAGTGTGCAGGAATGTGCTAAATACTTTCTATATGTGTAGTACCTATGATACTAAAAAGAGACAAGGACAGTATAACAAAAGGTCAGCTTCATTCAAGAACATAGATGCAAAAGCTCTAAATAAAATATTAGCTAAACGAACTTGGCAATATATGCATAAAAATACATTATAGCCAATCAACCAAGTTGAGTGTTACTCTAAGACTGCAAGATTGGTTAAAATTAGAGTTATCAATTAATTACATGAACAATTTAGAAGAAATTATATAATCATGTCAATAGATGCAGAAAATCATTTAATAAAATTCATCATTTATGTACAGAAACAAAAATAAAACAGAAATAACAAAATTGATAGAGCCATATACATATATAATGATGGGTCCTTAGAAACACACTTCTTAAAAAGAGTAAAAACAAAAGGATACCTTGGACACTAGCTCTATTCACTGAAGTACTGGAGGTTCTAGCCAGGAAAGTAGGATAAAAAAAAAAAAAAAGCATTAAGACATAAGAACAGAAAAAAAGTTGATTGCCTATATACAGAACATCTAAGAGACGCTGAAGACAGATTATTAATAAGAGAATTGAAGTTTTATTGGCTGAAAGATCAACACAAAAATCAGCTGCTTTCTTAATACCAGCAGACGACTGATGATACATTTTTTAAAAGTTTCCATTTACAATAGCAAAACAAAAATGAGATACCTAGGAATCACTTTTAATTAAAAGAACATAAGATGCAGCTAATATCACAAAACTTTATTGAAAAACATTCTTTAAAACCCCACATAGATGGAAGGACATATGTTTTTGAATGGTAACACTCAATTTTATAAAGATGTCAATCATCCCAAATTAGTCTGTACATTCAGTATGGGAGAAAAAAATAAAGTGGTTTTTCAAGGAAGTTGACAAAGTAATGGTAAAATTTATATAGAGGAACCAAGAAGAATTTGAAGTAGAAGATAATTTGCCCCATGAGATATAATGATTCATTATAAAGTTACTACAATTAACAAAATGTGTAATTGGTAAAAGTATGATAAATACCCAGAAACAGACCCAGACATATGAGAAACCTTACATGTGAAGAAGGTATTAAAAAATTGGAAGAGAAACAACTGACAACTTGATAAATGCTAGGACAATTATTTATATACACACAAAAAATCCATTCCTCATGTACAAAAGTAAATTCCAGATGGATTAAAGACAAACATGAAAAACAAAACCATAATGCTTTTAAGAGAAAAATTTTATGAACCTAGGCTAGAGAACGATACCTTAATAACAAAAAAAAATTATAAACTATAAAGAAATTTTAAAAAATCAACTACATTGACATTGCAATAAAAAAAAACAACTAGTGTCTAGAATAAATAAATAGCTTCTACAAATCAAGAAAAAACACAAACATCCCAGCTGAAAATAGGCAAAAGATATGAATGGTCAAATGGTGAGAGGGGAAATGACCTGTAAACATATTAAAAGGATGCTTAGCTGCACAAGCAGTTAAGGAAATGAAGATGAAAACAACAAAAAAATGAGATGCCATCTCACACTCCATCAGGCTGGCAAAAACCGATGTCTGTCAAGACCAAATGTTGACAAAGATAAGGAACAACAGAAACACTCATATTGCCGGTGGGTGTGTAGGTTATTATAGTCATGATGGTAGGCAGAATAATGCCCCCCCACAAATGTTCACATCTTCATCCCCCAACCTGTGGACATGTTATTTCACTGCATTGAAAATTAAGGTTGAGGGGAGCCTGGGTGGCTCAGTGGGTCACGACCCTTCAGCTCGGGTCATGATCCCAGGGTCCTGGGATTGAGCCCCACATCGGGCTCTCTCCTCCACGGGAAGCCTGCTTCCTCCTCTCTCTCTGCCTGCCTCTCTGCCAACTTGTGATCTCTGTCTGTCAAATAAATAAATAAAATCTTTAAAAAAAAAAAAGAATTTGGGCCACTAAGTTTTTGGTAATTTCTTATGGCAGCTTAGAAAACTAATACAACCACACTGCAGAGAAATTTTGGAGAATCTAGAAACTTAACTCCCAGGGACATAGTCACTGCTTTCTGCTTAATTATGTGACCCAGGGACCATCAGCATC